GCCCCCTGCAGCCCCAGGGGCCGCCTGCCCTCCTGCTGGTCTCCTGCCCCCTGCAGCCCCAGGGGCCGCCTGCCCTCCTGCTGGTCTCCTGCGCGCGTCTCCGTGCTCCTGCATGGAAACACCACCGTGCTTGGTGGCAAGGCTGACGGTCCCGGTGGAGACTCAGAATGGGGGCTCAGTCACCCAGGAGCCCCCTCTAGGGTGCCACCATTGCACTTCCAGCTCTGGACACCTTCCTCTGGCCCTAACTGCCCCTCTCCCCGCAGCCCCTGGGGAAGGGGCTCAGGAGGGTCAGCCCAGCACCCAGGGAGAATGAGGGCCGCATCGGGGAGACCTCTCAACAGCGCGGCCGCCCTGGGCCCACCTGCATGGGCCACCCAGGGGGTTAATGAGGGAGAATTAGCAGAGGCTCACCCCCTTACCTCACCTCACCTCACCCCACCTGGCTCAGCCCGACAGGACTCCAGGCTCCGTCTGCTCCCAGTCTGCTCTGCGCTCCATCCCTCCACCCTCGGGGTGCATCCCAGCCTCTCTCCCACACACACATCTCTCCTGTGCCCCAGGGCTTAGATCAAACCCCACATTTCTGCTTAAACACAGACAGGCCCCAGCCTCCGTGAGTGCATGTGCATGCCGGCGTGCGTATTTCCTGGTGTGCGTCCCAGTGGGTGCGCGTGACCGCGGGTGCCTCTGTCACACCTGCGTGCGTGAGCAGCCAAGCGGGTGGTGAGTACCCTGGCGTGGGCACGTGCAAAAGCGGGGGTGTGCCCGTTCATGTGGAGGCGCGTGTTCATGTGTGTGGGGTGTGCGCCGAGCAGGACTTTACAAGACCACTCCCTGCAGCACCCTCCTCTGTTATACTGAGCAGCCACAGAGCTGTGTCCCCTAAGTCCTTGCCACCCCTGGCCTAGAGCTGGCTGTCCTGCCCCTGGGAGCTTCTGCCCTTCACCCCTCTGCCCAACGGAGCCCCAAGATGGAGCAAAGACTGGAAGTGGAACGCTCAGTCTCTGGCAGGCACCTGACCGCAGGCCTCCCCACTATGTGGGTGGCCCCAAGGTTCTCCTTAGTAGGGTGTGAGACCTGGACTCTAATCCAAATACAGCTCTTTGGTCCCATCCCAGATGGCCAGTGGCCAAAGCACCAATTCAGCGTCCTTTCTGTCCAGTGCTGACTTCTGGCCAGTACCCTGAAGCAGCAGTTACACTGTTGGGGGCTGAACTCAGTGGTTCCCACAGGGGCTGCTGAACCTGTTGTCAAATACTGAAACGTCCACATTCTGGCTGATTCCTCAACACCCCCCTCTCCCTCCCTCCAGCCTCGCCCCCTCCCCTGGAAGACCTCCCACAACCCAGGACGCTGCTTGTGCAGAGTGAGTCCCTGTGCTACACAAATAGAAAGTCCTTTTAATGCCCCTCCCTACAGAGGCGTCAAGAAGCTAATGGCAAAGCTGGGGTGTAGGGGTGTTCCTTGCCTCTGGCTGGAGACTCACCTTGGCTGCAGTTGACGTGTTTCTGTGGGATGGGGGCAGGCTGTTTGCCTGCTCAAAAACTCAGGAGTGGGCCAGAAACCCTGCTCAGCCCAGGTGGGGTTCCTCTTGGGCATTCCAACAAGACCCCAGGTTTCCTGCTGTACTAACTTGGAACTGAACTCAAGAGTGGGCCCCACCCAGAAGGGAATTGCGATGTGACTGGAAGTCCATCGGACCCTCGCCAGACACCCAGAGTGCATGCTCTGAAGCTCAGGGCCGCCTCTGTCTTTCCTTCCCCAGAATGCACCAGGTGAGGCGGGCCCACTCTGGGCTGGGTGGCAGTGTTGGGCACTGGGGGACCCGTTCTTCTCTCGTGTGCTTGGTGTGTCCCAAGACCAGTAGGAACTACTGCCTGTCCAGTGGGCTGACCCTGGCCCTGAGCCCCACCCAGCCAGAGGTGGTCCAGCTGCCACGAGATCCCATGGCCCCACCGTCACCTTTCTGGCTCTAAAAGGTGCCCACAGCTCTGTTCCCCCACGAGCTGTGTTCTTCCTGAGGGCAGGGTCACATCTGCGCCCGGGGCTCAGCTCTGACCGCGGCAGAGAGGCACGGGACCCTTGGAGGCAGGCGGCAGGTCAGAACTGGAGCCTCCTCCCTACCCCACACCCCCACACCTGCAATCCCAACCGCTGCCAGGGGTTCTGGAACACCTTTCTCCCAGACAGTTTTATGGATTATAAAAAAGAGAATTTCATGAGATTTCCAATTACTTGAATTTCAGGGAGATTTATTTCCAATGTTATTAATAAATTCTAATGCCACCTATAACTTTCTATTGCCAGTTAATTAACTTGCAATTGGTACATTGTAAAAGGCAAATGAAATACCTTTCAGGCAGGGACTGGTAACCTAATGAGCCAGCGTGCCCCAAGGGGACACATCTCAGTTCCCGTCAGTGGGTGTGTGACACCAGCAAGTAATAGTGGGGGGCCTCGGAGTCTGCATCTATAAAAAGGAGAGCCCCGAACCTGCTCAGAA